CCAATCGTAAATGTAGGATTGATATTTACAGGATATCTGTTCTTAGATACCTAGAACCTTTTATTTTTTATTTTTTTTGTTTTTTAATAACAATTTTACTAACCGATCAGCATTACATTGCAATACAGGTTAGGTATAATATAAGAAAGAAACAAATGACATTATTAATTATATTAACATAGGTAGAGGGTAGAGGTCAGCTATGGCTAGCCTCTTATTGTCACTGTTTTAGCGGGTCGGACTGTAAAGGCGCTGTCCACCAATGAAACACAAATGAAAAAAAATGGTTATGATAAAACATCTTGAGGCAATCTGGGTTTTAGTCGGTGTCTCTGGATTTCAGAAGGTTAGCCTGTGTTGTAAAATCGAATGTAGATACCTAGAACTGAATATATGTACAATATTTTTAGGAAATTTAGTTTGGTTAGGTTATGACAGTATATCTAATATATAAAATTCTCGTGTCACAGTGTTTGTCTGCAAACTCCTCCGGAACGACTTCATCGATCGTTATGAAATTTGGTGTGTAAATTCTGTAGGTATGCGTATCGGACGTAAACTATTTCCCGTTTCGAAATTCTTAAAAAAGCTCCGCCCCAGTGGCTCTGGAGTTTCCCATGTTAACCTTATGAGAAATGGAATTAATGAATCTTAACAGCTGTTTCAATTAAACAAGTTGGTTCTGTTCTATGATGTTCAATAGCATTTAAGTTACAAGGATTACCAACAGGGTGCAGCACTATTATTTCTTTTACATTTATGACAACAGCTAATTTGCAACCAAAAGGTGAGTGAGCGTAGCGAACGAACTTCAACCTGGAGGCGAGTTAGCGTAGCGAACGAGCTAACCTGAAGGCAAGTGAGCGCAGCGAACGAGCTCCAAACTAAAGGTGAGTGAGCGTAGCGAACGAACTCCAACCCAAAGGTGAGTGAGCGTAGCGAACGAACTTCAACCAGGACGTGATTGAGCGATGCGAACGAGATCATCTTGAAAATTAAACGTAACGGTACTTTCTTTCCATCGGTCTGTCTTAGGGGAAACCTATAACTTAGGCGATACGAAGTTCGCCGGGTCAGCTAGTAGTTTTATAATAAATAAAATTATTTTATAACTAAGTATGTCGTCATGGATGGCCCCCGGGAGACTGTCCGGAACGCGACACCTAGGGCCGTATGTGCTCGTTGGGTTCTCGTCGAATTGTCCTCGTCGCTCCTCGATGTCGATCGATAGTCGAAGTCTATTCGATTCGATGTCATTTCCATTATTTGTCTGTCTCTGTCATTTGTCTTGTCGTCACTCGTCAGTCAGCGACATTTAAGAAAAATTGTTAACACGTTTTAGAATTTAAAGGTTAGTTGTGAACAGTAGAATTTAATCGGTAGTTAATTAATTTAATATTCTCGTATCAGATCTGTAGGCTTACTTAGTAACTCTCATCATTGACTTAGGCCTATAGGCCTAGCCTATCATTATGCCTGTGATAGGTTCTTTATTTACATTAAATTCCATACAACTTTAGTAACCTGTTTTATGTAGGCCTAAGACCATATTAAATTTGGATGAAAATCCGGTAGGCCTAAACCAGCATTGAAAATAGCCTAGGCCTAGGTTATTAAAAGTTAAGTTATCTTAGCCCAGATATATAAGTAAACTTATTTTGCTATATTATTTTGATAGCGTATACGATATGAGCAATTTGATGGACTTAACATCTGGCGTTTGAAAGCCCCGTCCTAGCTGAACGACGATAGCCTACCTAAGTTAAGTCTATCGTCTGTGCAAGCAAATCTATATTCATTCTATTTGTCTATGATTAGACTATCTTTTGATGCAGCCAATTACTGTTTCTAGTCTTCTGTTCCTATAATAAATAGAAAAGAAATACAGTCTAAGATTAGGTAGGCCTACCTTTTTACAATTAACTGTTATAGGCCTAGGCCTAATAAACAAATGTGGAAACAGGAAGGAATGATAGTAGCCCACTGTAAGATTCACATTTACTACAGTAGAACACCCATAATTTGGACATAAAAAAATCAGGTCTGTCAATAATCCAGCTGTGTTTTAAGCAAATAAATAAAATGTAGGTCTACTGCCTTTTAAAACTAATTAGGGACGTAGCTCCATAAAAACTAACCACTAACGCTATTTTTTTATAAGCTCAAATATATGTAGTGTCTGATAACTTAATTTTCACTGCGCACATGTATGTACTGTAGCAGGAAATTAAAATGTGAACACTGCTTGAACATAAAAACTGTGTCAATTTATTTATCTCTCCATAGACTAACCAACACAAGTAGACTTCTCATCCCATTGTAAATTTTGAAGCTCGTTTTTCATGTCTAGTTGATGTACGCCACACTGGGCGCTAGTGTCGACGAAATTTTGTTTCTATTATTTTAGGGTTAATTTCTTGATTTGTGCTTTACTGTTTGGTTAAATAACTAGGGGACAATTTATTGTTTATGATTAGATCGTATTACAGTCCAACCTCGGTATAACGAATCTGAAGGGACCGAACTGAATATTCGTTATACCAAGGATTTCGTTAAAATGAGGTTCGTTATATAGAGGTTAGGTGTGCAGGAATTTCGCTAAGTCGAGGTTAAGAACCAGCATCAGTCTATTTAAAGGTTGGGATTGGACCTCATTAAAACAAAATTAAAGTCGCAAAGGCTACAATACTTTACAGTGTACAATGTTTACATTGTAAAGTAGAATCTCGATTATCCGGGATACTAAAGGGAAGGGAACTTAAATATTGCGCAATCATGACATTTATAGTCATTGACCTTGGTACAGGTTACAAACTTTAAGTTTAAAATCACAGCTTACTGCTTACTCCAATCCACCTAAAACCTAGCCAAACACTGTATTGCATAGCAATAAACCACGTAAAGAACAAAACAAAACAGTAGAGAGTTTTGTAAGCTACTGCTAGTGATAGGCCGGTGGTAGGCTACAGACAGTAGTGCTTTAAATCACAATATAGGAATGTACTGTAATTATCATGAACTTAGTACAAATCATATTGAAAATAATAAAAATATTAGATAGGCTAAGTCGTTATTGAAGTGTATAATTATAGCCAACTTAATAAAAACACTCGTAAAAGGAATGTTAAGATATCCATGTTGCTATTCTTTTTCTTTCTAAGGTTTCACTTCATCCAAAAATTGTACAATTCACCATATTTAGGCCTACTTATCACCCAATCACAGCTTACTACACATTACGGTGCCATCAGTCCTCGGTAAATGAAATCGGTTCTCAGTTAGATGTAAACATAGCGCGCATGCAACGACGACAGCAGACAGGGATGTGTAAAACGGAGCAGACGAATGTTAGCGCAAGCGTTGACGTCACCTTTCCATTTCATTTTATGAAGAAATAGATTTTTCAAAAGCAATAATGGTGGTGGGGGGTTCGTTGTATCGAGGGAGAAACGCAGACAATTCGTTAAGTAGAGGTTAAATTCGCTATGTAGAGGTTCTGACAATGATAAATTCGTTATATTGAGGTGTCTTATTTTAGCCGGGATCATGAAAAATTCGTTAAATCAAGGTCGTTGATATGGATTGTTCGTTATGTAGAGGTAAAATATACATTGTGTCTTATGGAGAGTTCTAGGGGATTTAAAAAAGTTCGTTATATCAAGGAATTCGTTATATCGAGGTTCGTTATATCAAGGTTAGACTGTATTTGGTTAAACGAGGTTTAAAATTACTGCATTAACGGAAAAAAAATTGTAAACGACCTCTACATAAACCGTACAGAACTATCAATAAAATTGTCTTCAGCTGTTCCATTAGGATGAGAAATCTACTAAGGGAGTATATTTTATCTATGATCTCTCTTTTAGAGCCTTTACTGTTGTACTCATCTGGTAGGCTAGCTATTTAATAGAAAATAAGTTAAATCATTTTCAAAAGTTTTTCACCCAAATAGTGCCTGCTGGTTTTTTAAGGTAATTTTGATAATCCGCATAACTTTGTGATACGGATCGGGTCTGGTCCCAACTAATCTTGATTATCGACGTTTTACTGTACAGGCATATTCTTTTTTGATAAGCTATAGGTACATCTGGAGTCTCTAGTACTTCTCTTCAATGGTATGCTTTTGTCTAAATCTAAATTCTAATTTTAATCAAAGCATCTGTTTCAGGAACAACATGACTGAAGACACTGTTAGCAAGAAGGCTCCGAAGAGGGCAGCTGCTGAAGAGATGGAGGTGGAAGTGGTTAACGGCATCGAAGGTCAAGCACCGCGCAGCAAACCTGCAGCCAAGAAGACAAAACAGCAGCCAAGCTCAGAAGTCCGCAAGGTCCCTGTGCCAGCTCATAGGTACACCCCTCTGAAGGAAAACTGGATGAAGATATTCACACCGATCGTAGAACATCTCAAACTCCAAGTCCGTTTTAATCTGCGTACCAGGAACGTGGAGATACGCAACTGCCCTAACACAGAAGATATCGGCAACTTACAGAAAGCTGCTGACTTTGTAAAAGCTTTTATTTACGGATTTGAGGTAGAAGATGCTCTTGCTTTGTTGAGATTGGATAATTTATTCATAGAGTCTTTTGAAATCAAAGACGTTAAAACTTTGAGAGGCGACCATTTGTCGCGAGCCATTGGCCGACTGGCGGGTAAGGGAGGAAGGACAAAGTTTACCATTGAAAATATCACTAAAACTCGAATTGTTCTGGCCGATTCAAAAATTCATATTTTGGGTTCGTACCAAAATATTCAGGTTGCAATGAAAGCAGTTTGTAACCTGATTCTGGGCAGTCCGCCCTCCAAAGTTTATGGACAGTTGAGGAATGTGGCAACGAGAATGTCTGAACGATTGTAAAATAAAATCTATTTTATTATATAGTTAGAATTTTATATTTCCTTCATTACTACTTAACAGCTTCTCCTGATAAAAAATATTTTGTTTTATTAGGTTTAATCTTTTGCACAAAGTGACTTAGTTAGTTTGATTATGATACACAATTGTACACTTACCCAGAATATGACATAGAACAACTGTCTCTAAACTAAGTTATTTGTTTGGTAGTTGCCTTTAGTTCTTGAAGATTACTTTTCCTGAATGCACATTTCACCACAGGTTGTGGTACCCTCAGAGGTCACTATGAAGATGAAACAGGGTAACCTACATTATAAAAAAACTGTCTTAAGCAGAGTAACCTATAGCATCTAACGAGTAATACTTTATGCACCCTCGACACTGTACCAATCATTCGTGATTTAAAAGCATTTGTTTGGTTAGGTGTCCAAGTTTGTGTTAGGAAAAAAACATTCAATGGTGTATAGGGGTACAAGTCTCATAGGCTAGCTAGTACTAGGAGTGATTGCAGTGATAAGATGATGCAGGCTAGACTAGCAAATGTGACTTCAACCCCAGACCCAATCTTTTTTGGTGTTACAAACAATAAATGCAGAAAGGTAAAAATATGTTAAGAATTCTGGTCAACACCTGATATCAATTTTATCATGAGTTATTGAACTTGATTGTAGATAGTTTTAAATTTTGATTTTATTATTGTTAGTTATGAATGATGAAATACTGTATTTAATCTAAAGTTATTTACTTAAAATCTTTTTCTAGGGTGGTTAGGTGTCCAAGTTTGTGTTAGGAAAAAACATTCAATGGTGTACAAGTTCAATGGTGTATAGGGGTACAAGTCTCATAGGCTAGCTAGTGCTAGGAGTAATTGCAGTGATAAGATGATGCAGGCTAGACTAGCAATTCAACCCCAGACCCAATCTTTTTTGGTGTTACAAACAATAAATGCAGAAAGGTAAAAATATGTTTAGAATTCTGGTCAACACCTGATATAAATCTTATCATGAGTTATTGATCTTGATTGTAGATAGTTTTAAATTTTGATTTTATTATTGTTAGTTATGAATGATGAAATACTGTATTTAATCTAAAGTTATTTAACGTGTATTCACTTATACAATTAAAAAGTACAACTTAGTAAAACGAAACTTGACTTTAATCATGTAAAAACTAACTGACAACAAAAAGTAAACAACCTTGTTATTTGTATGTAACATATGGTAATAAATAATGTGAACTCTATACAGACCAAAAGCACGAACACTTCACCTTCTCGCCGAGATTGAACTACTGTCCTTGTCTTCAAGAAGGTTTTTATGCTTTAGTTGGTCAGCGTGTTTTTTAAAGATTCTTCTATCGTTACCTTCAACTTTCCACACGTTTCGCCCTAGTCTCTTCAAGATTACGCCGGGTTTCCACACAACATTTCCGTTTCTGGTTTCTGCCCAAAACACAGGTTCATTTATTTTGAAGTTTTTTAGGCTAGTAGTGGCTCCTTCTTTATTCTCTTCCTCTTTTGTTTTATCTTCTTTATTTTCTTCCTCTTCTGTTTTAATCTGACTTCCTTTTTGGGGTTGAACTAAATCTAAGATACATCTTAGCTGACGTCCTAAAAACAACTCAGAAGGTGACATTCCAGAAGTTATGTGTGGTGTTAACCTTTACTTAAATAAAAAGTTGTTTAAGTCAGCTTCCAAACCTTTAGGGGATTGTTCTTGGCAAAGTTTTCTCAACGCCTGTTTCATGGTACCGACGTATTTTTCAACTTGTCCGTTGGAACACGGATGGTAAGGTGGAGTGGTTATGTGGTCGATTCCAAATGCTTTACAAAACTGTGCAAATTCTACGGACGTAAAACAGGGTCCGTTGTCTGTCACTATGGTTTTAGGGATTCCATATCGGCATATTAACAGCTTAATTAGTTTGATTGTTACTGAAGTAGTCATAGAGTTCAACTTGATAATTTCTGGCCAACCGGAGTATGCATCTACGACCAAAAGAAAAACACTATTAAGGAAAGGTCCAGCGAAGTCCAAGTGTATACGGGTCCAAGGGTCAGTGCATCTCGGCCAATTACTGAGGAACTTTCTCTGTGGTTCTCTTGCAGCATACAAGTTGCATAGTGCACAAGTTCTTGCCACGTTTTCGATGTCACTGTCCATCGATGGCCACCAAAAACGATCTCGGGCCAACGCCTTCATCTTTACCATTCCTAAATGAGTGTCGTGCAGGTTCATAAGTAATTTCTGCTTGAACTTTTCTGGGATAATTGCTCTAACCCCCCACATTAGGCAGCCCTCATGTATGGATATTTCGTTCTTCCTTGACTCATATGGTTTTAACTCCAGATTGTTTGTCTTGTTTGGCCATCCACTTAATACAAACTCTTTGACCCGATTAAGAGTGACATCATTCGACGTTTCTTCACTGATTTCTTTAGCCGTAACTGGTAGACAATCTATGTTACCTGAGAATATTATTCCAACTACGGTGCTATAACTCTCATCGGCTTGGTCAGACTCGACATCTTCCTCGAAAGGCAAACGACTTAAACAGTCAACTTTCCCAAATAGTTTAGTAGAAACGTATTCTATGTCAAAACGAAAATTTGTTAAAAACAAAGCCCACCTTTGTATTCTGCAAGACGTGGTTACTGGCACTCCTTTGCTGGATCCGAATATAGACAATAGAGGTCTGTGGTCTGTTTGGATCAGAAAATGTGTGCCCCAAAGGTAGATGCGGAACTTTTTAATAGCATAAATCAAAGCTAAAGCTTCTCGTTCAATTTGCGAATAATTTTGCTCTGCCTTGTTCAGTGTTTTAGAAGCATACCCGATCGGCTTCTCTTCTCCGTTAAGATATCGATGAAAAATTGCGCAACCAATCCCCACTGATGAAGCATCGGCTGCAACTACTATAGGTAATTCACTATTAAATGGCACTAGAATAGGAGTGGAAACTAAAGCATCTTTAATACGGTTAATTGACTGAGAGCATTGTTCTGTCCATGTCCATTGAACATTTTTCTGCCTTAGTTCGTTTAATGGTGCACAGATCTCAGAAAAGTTTGGGATGAACTTTGAGTAAAAGTTTGCCATTCCTATAAATGATTCCAACTGTTTAATGTTTTGGGGTTCAGGCATATCTACTATGGGCTTTATCTTGTCTTGATTCGTCGAAATTCCATCTTTGGAAATACATAGACCCAAATAGTTGACTTTTTCCTTCATGAAGTGACACTTAGCTCTGTTTAAACAAAAACCATTGTCCTCAATGCGTTTCAAAACCTCTTTTAACGTGTTTGGATGTTCAGTGTCATTTATTCCTGTTATAATGACATCATCCAGTAGGAAAGCGACTCCATCTAATCCAGCAAGCATAGAATGCATCTTCTTTTGAAAAATTGCCGTAGCAGGAGCTACGCCAAAACACAGTCGATTGTATCGCATAAGACCAAAAATAGTATTAATGACAAGGAGTTTTTTAGATTCTGTGTCCATTGGAATAGAAAGGTAAGCATCAGAGAGGTCAAGGGTGGTAAATTTCTGTCCAGAACCTATCTTGGTCAATAAATCGTCTTGAGTTGGTAATGGAAACTGTTGCACCTTTAATGCTTAGTTGAGTCCCGTTGAAAAATCTGCGCATATTCTAATAGCTCCATTCGGTTTTCTTACAATCACGCATGGCGCAGCCCATTCTGAATGGTCTATTTCTTCAAGGATACCATTTCTTTTTAACCGGTCAAGTTCTTCTTTAACCTTGTCCCTTAAAGCTAAAGGAACAGGCCTTGCCTTTTTAAACACTGGTGTAGCACCCTCTTTTAGGTACAAATGAGCAGTTGTCTTTGAACATTTATTTTCATTGGGTTGAAAGGTCAGAAAACTCATCCACAAGTTTGGCAAGTTGTTGATCCGTATTTTCTACTTGTAAGGTTTGTTTATACGGTTCTGAACATATCCTTTGCAAATCGGAAAGTGATATTTTGTGGAGAAATAAAGGTGTAATCCAATCTCTTCCAAAAATATTTTGTTTGACACCCGAAGCGACAAAAGCTCTGAGTTTGGTTTTAACGTTTGCAAAAACCACTTCTACATCCATCTCACCAAGAAGTTTAACACAATGACCTGTAAATGAAGTAAAATTCTGTTTACTTAACAAAAGGTCGGGTTTTCCTATCTGTTTCCAAGTATGATCTGAGATAATTGAAGCGCAGCTACCTGTATCAAACTGCATCCTTATGATCTGGTCATTGAGTAAGATATTGAGAATAAGTATCGGGTAAAAGGTTGTCTGCTTTCCGATTGAAAGAACGTCCTGTATTCCTCCCAAAGAGTTCGTATCATTATAGCTAGTTACATCATTACCAACAACGTTACTACCTGATTCCTTTGACATTGGACCATTCTCAACAATGTTTCTTTTAAGGTGTCGTTTCTCCACCTGTCCCGTTTTACATATTCTAGTTATGTGATTCCTACTCCCGCATTTGTAACATCTTGGATTTTTAATGTCACAATTCCTTTTCAGATGTTTACCACCACATATAAAGCATGGTCCTAGAGATAAAACATTACAATCTTCCCTCTGAGAAAAACTATTTAATGAAGCATCTTTTACTGAGAAAAGAGAATTAGCTACGTTAATGACTTCTGAGAACGTTTCATAATCCTTCTCCATGAGTTTGGATCTTATATTGTTATCACATATCCCCATTACAAAAGCGGTAACAAGTGCTTGTTGGAAAAATTGAATGGGAAATTGACAATCATTTACTTTATTCCTCAAAACATTGGCAAACTCCGTCAGACTCTCGCAGCCCTGACGCAGTGAAAAAAACTTGACTCTTTCTGCAATGGTGATTTTTTTAGTTTTAAAATTGTCCAACAATAGTTTAAAAAGTTCTTCATACTTAAAGTCATTTAAATCATTAGGTCTACAAAGGTTAACCAGTGTGCTTAACACATTTGTACCCAAAGCGTTTATGAATAGCAAGCGTTTGGTTTCATCATCGTTAATTCCATTGAGTTTAAGACCTGTAGTAAACTTAATGTGCCACACTTCAATCTCTACTGTGTCCGGGTCGAACAAGTCACATTTAAAATTACAAATACTTTTTTCATTACGAACTTGATCGGTACCTGGATCGTCTTGATGTCGTCTATGTCTACCTGATGTCGGCATTGTGTGAGTTCTAATTCCTCGTCGCCAATAACGTGTATTCACTTATACAATTAAAAAGTACAACTTAGTAAAACGAAACTTGACTTTAATCATGTAAAAACTAACTGACAACAAAAAGTA